CCTTCATTGTTTAAGTGTATCCCGGGCTCGGGTCCATGGATGTTGGTTGTTGGTTGTTGTCTTATTCTCGTTTCCATCATTTACCCTTTGTATTTGAGTCTTGGGTTGTGTTGGATAGGTTTGAAACATGTTGGTTGTGTTTAGAAACCAAGAGTTGATGCCTAGATTTTGGCCTTTACGCTCGAGCGAGGCTTTTGATGCTCAAGCGGGCCCTTTGCTTTTGTTCCTCCGCTCGAGCGGGCAGTTTGGCACTCGAGCGGGATTATTCAGTCTCCAGTATCTTTTCTCTACAGGTCATCAGACGCTCGAGCGCCCACTTTCACGCTCGAGCGGGGACCTTCGTCTACAGAACTTCTGGAAGTGTGCATTCGACGCTCAAGCGTCGCTTTTCACGCTCGAGCGAAAGTCTGTATCTGACGCTTGAGCAAGGTGTTCCACGCTCGAGCGGACTGTGTTTTATATCAATCCGAGTAGTAACTTTTTCGGGCCATTCTCTCTCTCTAACTTTCCAAAACCCTATTTTGAGAGCTCCTCTCTCTAGAATACACATTCTCTCTACGAAATTATATAGTTTTAGTGATCTTCCACCCTTGTCCCTTTGTAAAAAAGTATAGAGCTTGGTGTGGGCTACGTTTGGATCTGAAAATCTTTGGGTTTGGAGCACCTTCGAATTTCTTCATCTTCTCCTTTGAGCTCCGAAATTTGAGGTAGGGATAACTACTCATATTTATGATCTTTCACATAAACTTGTGGTCATTTTGATTTAATGTTGAAGTTGGGAAATTTTGGGTGTTAGGCTTCAAAATGTATAAAGAGGGGTTTTGTTCTTTTGACCAATACATATGTATTTTGGGTCATAAAATAAGGTTATTGATGTTTATTGATGGTATTTGGACCTTTGGGTCAATGTTGAGAAAATTGATAGAAAAGCTCTAATTTATTGTGATGAATTAATATGTATAACTAATTTGGGAAAGTTATGGAAATATGAAATTGAGTTGGAAATAATGAAATTGGGTAATTATGAGGTTTAATGGTGGAGTTTGATTGATTGATCACTCACATTTGAAATTGTAGATAATTTATCTGTTTGATAATTTATTATCTGTTTATAAATAATTGTTTTGGGCTATCGGTGGAGGATAGTCTTGATTATTATAGACACTGCATGATGATTAGGTGAATTAAAACTAATCAATTGAATATGTCATTGAATATGACGGATGTGATAACACATTGAATGTGTACTTGGCTTGATCATTGTATATGATAAGTGTTTAAATACATTGTATATGTATATTGTTTGGGGGGAGATAATGGATGTACTCCACGGTTTGGGAGGAGATAGGGGATGTACTCCTAAACCGGATTTGGGAGAAGATAAGGGATGAACTCCAGTGATAACTAAGTTGGCCGGAGTGTCCAGGGTGAAAGTTCCGAAATCCTAATTGCGTTTGTATAACGTAGATAAATTGAAATATGAAAATGATAATAATATGAGTTGTAGTCTCATTTAAACTTGAAGTGTTGAAGTGTTAATTATGTGAGTTGTAGTCTCATGTTAATTGATCATAACCGAAGTATTGTTGATATGAGTTGTAGTCTCATTTAAACTGTCTGGATGAACAAGGAACCATATATATGAATTGGTTTGGATAATGAAATTGAAAGAGATGTATGTTTGTTTATATGAGTTAAGCATTTATCAAATGCCAATATTTTAGTTATTGCTCATATTATGTTTAGCATATGTCTACTGGGCGTTGGCTCACTCTATATGGGACATCATTTTCAGGTTCAGGTGTTATGTCACCTTCAAGGCCTTAGCTTGGATGGTTTTGGGAGCTGAAGGCTCTTTTGGTTGTTTTAATATTTTGGTGATACATGTAAATTCAAGCCAATGGCTTTTTTGTGTAGAGAGTTATAACTCTTTTTTTGTTGTAATCAAGTGTTGACTTGGAAAGTTGTAAACCTACAGGGCATTTACTTTTGTTGTCAACATGTGTTACTTTTGTAAGAATATTCTGATGAATGGAAATATGCTTTATTCTCTTGTCTATGAATATCATGAATGTTGGGTTTATGTATTATTTTGAGGGCGTTACAGTTTGATCCATGATTTTATAGACTGATAAGACTTCTACATAATAGTAATCAGGGTGTTGGGTTTCAGTTTTTTAAATTTAGTTTTTTGAAAATTAATTTTTTTGTTTTTTGCTTTGTTTTGTTTTTAGTGAATATTTTTTAAATTTTAAGTATTTTTTATTTTTTTTAGACGCATTTTACTTATATATATATATATATATATCTAAAAAGTAAATTATTTGTGAAAAAAATAAACAAATTTAATAAATACACAAAAATATGAAAAATATATTGAATTTTTATTTATTTAGTGAATTTTTTAAAGATTTTTTTCATGAAAATTATACTTTTTAAGTGTATTTATATTAGGTGTGTTTAAAAATTAAAAACAAATTAATTAAAATATTAAAAAAATTCAGTAAAAATAGAAAAATATGGAAAAATAAAAAAATAAAATTTTCTTAAACGTAAATTCTAAAAATTGAAAACAAATCGTGTGATTTTTTTTTATACTTTTACATAAGGTGTCAATTCTTTACTATTCAAAACGTGTTCTTGTTCTTGTATAGTAGTATGAATAGTTATAAACAATCATCTAAAATCTATTTTCACATTATTTTAGTACATACATTTAATAAAATTTTATTTTAATAACAATTAGATTCTAAAATAAAATAATTATAATGGACATTTACCAACACTTACAATATTATATAAAAATATTCTCTGTACACATCTTTGAGAAAGAATAAAATCTCAATGTAGACCTTTTGACTAAAAAAAGCTAAACCCTAGGATTTGACTGTTTGGAATAACTTACGACAAATTATACTTATATCCCTGAAATTTGGGTTTAACACATATCATCCCTTAACGTTTGAGAAATTACACTAACTCTAGTCATTGTAATTATTTAGACGAAATAAAAATATTAAACTCATGCACTCTATTTTTTTCTTACTTTGTTTTGCTTTACTTGCATAAGGAGTCAATTCTTTACTATTCAAAACGTGTTCTTGTGCTTGTATAGTAGTATGAATAGTTATAAACAATCATCTAAAATCTATTTTCACATTATTTTAGTACATACATTTAATAAAATTTTATTTTAATAACAATTAGATTCTAAATTAAAATAATTATAATGGACATTTACCAACACTTACAATATTATATAAAAATATTCTCTGTACACATCTTTGAGAAAGAATAAAATCTCAATGTAGACCTTTTGACTAAAAAAAGCTAAACCCTAGGATTTGACTGTTTGGAATAACTTACGATAAATTATACTTATATCCCTGAAATTTGGGTTTAACACATATCATCCCTTAACGTTTGAGAAATTACACTAACTCTAGTCATTGTAATTATTTAGACGAAATAAAAATATTAAACTCATGCACTCTATTTTTTTCTTACTTTGTTTTGCTTTACTACTTTTGTTTTTTTTTTCCCTTTGCTTTACTTTTTTTCGTTTTTAATATAATTTTATCTATTTTTTTTATTGAGAGCTATTGTCTTTTATATAACGACCCCGCTACGTAGCTCGAAAGAGTTTGGCTCGAATTTGGCTCGACACCAAAACGACGTCGTTTTGGTGTCTTTTTTTTTTTTCCTGTTTTTTGTTGCAAAAGAAAAAGAAGAAGAAGGGTGGAGAAGAAGAGAAGGAGAAGAGAATGAAGGAGGAGAGAGGAGAGGAAGAGAGAGGAGGAGGACTGAAGGGGCGTAATCACAGGGGAGGAGGAGGCGGAGGCGGGGCCGGAAGCGACACGGTGGTGCTGCGATGATCTCATCTCCTCCTCTCTCTTTTCTCCCTCTCTCCTCCTCTTTATCTTCTCCTATCTTCTTCCTCTCTTCTCTCCCTCTTTCTCTTCTGTCTTTGTCTTCGAATTCGAGCCAAAATCGGGTCACTTTTTTCGAGTTACCAGTCATTTTCGTTTATATAAATAGGAGGGTTATGAAATGAAAATATTAACCTAAAAAGTAATAATAATTTTTAAAACTCAAAAAAATAAAATATAATATAATTGAATCAAACTTCAATGGGGGTGTTTGAAAAGATGAGTTTGAGGCTAAAATAGTCCAAGATTAAATAAAAAAAGATTGGAGGTATATTTAGCTTTGAAAAAAAAACCTAAAAAAAAAAAAAAAAAAAAAAAGCTAAAACCATGGGACAGTGCTGGCCTACATGTTACATTGAAAAGTTGTCCCTTCTCTTGCTAAATGACGATTTTACCCTTTTACATTAATTTTGAAAGATGTGATGTTAGGGATAAATTTATTATTTTAACTTTAAACATTATTTCAATATAACAATTTAAATAAAAATTCATTATAACTTTCTGAATACAAAAATTAAAATAACTTATTAAAATAACAAAAAAACCAAAAAAACTTCTAAAATAACTACGTATCAAACGAGGCTCATGTGAGTATAATTTATCCAATAACTTATGTGAATACATTTTTTTATATTTTTTAAATCATATCACCTTTTTTTTTTATTTTTTTTTTGCACATTAAAAAAAAGGGGATGCACCAATAAATCCCAAATTAATAACTTATGCACTGTTTAGTCCTAAAAGTTTTCTTATAGACTGAAAGGTCCCATTACAATGTTAATAACATCAGAGTCATGTTACAAACATTGGATTTCAAACATCTAATGTTAATCAAATTTCAATAATGTTTGAAAATATAGGATGAAAAACATCTAATGTTCATCAGATTTCAATAAATTTTGAAATTATAGAATGAAACATCAGATCATTTACATCATTCACATCATGTTGATGTAAAAATGAGACTAAATGAAGCATAAGAAAATTTTAGGACTAAATGGTTCAACGTTTCAAAAACCAGGACTTATGGGTAAATTTTCCTAAAAAAAAATAAAAATGAAAAGGCGGCAAAAAGACACAAATAGGCGCCAAAAAATCCCCGATGTCTCTCTGTTTTGGTTGATTGTTTGAATGAAGAAGAGAGAATCAATGGCTGCTTCCAAAACTCTGATGGACTTCTTCCAACCCACTGCAAAACGTTTAAAAAAGGACTCTTCTTCTTCTTCCAAAACCCTAAAATCAGTTCCAAATCGTGTTAACCCCATCGCTTCTTCAACCCTCTGCAAATCTGCTGATCATTCAGATATCCCTATTTCTTCCTCTGGTCTCACTGCCGATGAGAAATCGAGGATCCAATTCAAGAAATTACAGGCTCAATCCAGAAGAAACTTCCGAATCTGTTTGGATCGTCTCTCTAACTCCTCCGTTTCTGGTTCGCTTCTTCTTCTTCTTCTCCTTCTTCTTATTTTTCTCTAATTAATTATTAATCATCAGTCGCCTAGTACTAATACCTTGTTTGGATCGACGAATTTGATGAGAAAACAAAAGAAAATAAATATTGTACTTTTCTCAGGGTTAGTTACACGGAGACGTCCTAAACTATAGTTTAGTTATTCTAATTTGTACCGTTTTATAGTTTAGGGGTTAAAACTCAATACTAAAGAAGAAAGTAACTTAATAATTTCATACTTTCTAAGTCATAAGTACCTAACTTAATAATTTAGATCAAAGCTTGATTTGATATAGCTCACTCTAATGTTGAGAATCAAATTTTTCTACCAAATCTTTTTAAAAATACCTAACCTATTCCAAAAACCTCATTTAACTAATTTAGGTGAAAAAATTGATCTCCAATCCACAATGTTTGGGAACCTACCTAGGAGAGAAAAGAAAAAAAATGGTTACTTATAAGTTATAAGAGAAAAGAAAAGAAAAGAAATGATTGTAATTTCTCTCATTCTTGTTTGGATAAGTAAGAGATAAAAGAAAAGAAATGATTTTGATTTCTCTCATTCTTATTTGGTTAGATTTCATAAGAAAAAAGAAAATAAACTGTTTTATATTATATTATCAAAATAACATTTTTATATTTTGTCAATCATTTTATTTCTTTTATTTTTACAGGGATAAAATTGGTATTATGAAAATATAAAAATATTTTGTTTCCTTTTCTCTCCCAATCTCTCTACTTTTGGAAAGATTGAAAATGCGGGTTATAAGAGAAATGAATTTGTCTCCGTTTCTCTCTATTTCTTCCTAATTTTCTCCACTCAAGTTATCCACACAAGTAAGAGAAATATATATCTCTCCGTTTATTTTCTTTTCTCTTCAAATTACTCAATCTCTCGTTTGATATTTTTTTTGGTAAAAACTTGATTCGATACAAGTTTGATGAATGGGTTGGATCTCATTTTCACCATTTTTTTTCATCAAATTTAAATTTGATGAAGAATTTGGTGAAGGATTTGAGATGCAGCAATACATGTGAGAGATATGAGTGAGATTTTTTTTGTTTTGATTGTTTTGTATTTTAATGAGCAACGTTACGTTAGTATTATGAAAATTTTATATCCAATTAATTTGTTTCTCACTAAATTTAATCAACTTTGGTAATGAATGAAATAGACAAAAAGCTCATCATTTTCAATATTTTTTAAAACCTAATTTATAAGTCAATAATGAGAAAAAGAAATAACTACTATTAAAACTTACTTTTTGACTCCACTTTGGAGAGATTGAAAAATGATTTTGGTATTATAATTAATAATAATTTATTTTCTTTTATCTATTCTATCTAAACTAAAATATAAGTTATAATTATTTTCTCTTTGTCTCAATCAAACAAGAGGTAACAAATAAGAACGAAAGAAAACACAATCTTCTTTCAACTTTTCTTTTTCTTGCTTCTTTTCTATCTTACCGTAACAAATCATTCATTTCATTTTTCAACCAAACAGGCTGTAAATTTATAATATGTTTTGTATCTTCAGAAGGGGTGAATTTTGTGAAATTGGAACAGCTGTTGGTGGAGGAGACATGGTTGGAAGCTCTTCCTGGAGAGTTTCAGAAGCCCTATGCAAAGGAGTTGTGCAAGTTTGTCCAAACTGAACTATGTGGTGGAGGTGATGGTGGCAGCAGCGGTGGGAATAGCCGTGTGCCAATCTATCCGCCTCAGCACTTGATCTTCAATGCTCTTAATACTACCCCATTTGACAGGGTCAAGGCTGTCATCATTGGTCAGGTATACTGCTCTTTCTCCTCCATGTAGTGTTGTGTTTGTGTTCCCTTTCTATACTTGTTTTCCTACTTTCTGCGCTACTGAAAGATAATATAAAGTAATTTTTATTGAAAAAGATAGAACCAAAGCTCACCCAGCCAAGCCAAGCCATATATACCCTATGTACTATCAGTATTATGTAGCTATTTGTTTACATGGAGCTCAACTAATCACAAACATAAGAATGGAAATTTTAGAATGGAAATTTGTTTACATATTACAATAAAAAATATTTACGCTAAACAAAATAAGATTCAGACATTTTTTAAATATTGAAAAAAAAAATAAACCTCAAAAATTTCAAAGTACAACTCAAAAATCAATCACTTCATCCTTTTTTCAAAACTCATTTCAAAAATTCAAAACTCTTTTCAAAACTCATAACTAAACAAATTTTTTCTTTTCAAATCTCAATTTAAAAACTCAAAATACAACTCCACACTCAAATAATGATTTTAATTCTAAACCAAATGGAGCCTTATTATGGTTTGCAATTGCTCTGCTAAGTAGATAATGCCATGCTTAAGTTTTTATTTTTTATTTTATTTTGGTAGGATCCCTACCATGGGCCTGGTCAAGCAATGGGCCTTTCCTTTTCTGTGCCAGAAGGCGTGGAAGTCCCTTCAAGCCTGAAAAACATATACAAGGAGCTTCAGCAAGATTTGTGCTGCTTAATTCCATCTCATGGGAATTTGGAAAAATGGGCTATCCAGGTAACCCAATTGATCTAGTGATGTTACTATGAACGTGTTTCTTCTTATAATTATTGCTGTCCCTTTTTCTCCCCCTAGCACTTCTTGCTTGTATTTTCTGTTATAAACTGCTGTTCTCATGTGGTCTGTTATGAATGTTGTCTGTTCTTTTACTTTTTCCTTTTATTATCCACTTCTTCCTTCAACTGACATATTTTGAAGCTTAGAAATAATAAACTAGCAATTTGATCCTTTCTTATTCTTCTTAAATTTCTAAAAGTCAATCATTAAATATGCAATTTGTGTCAAATGTAAATGTGAAAAAATGCACACTAATGATCCCATCCCACATAGGAAGTTTGCATGGATGATATTGGGTTTGTTAGTAGGAACAATTAACCCAAATGACATCTCATTGGCTAGCTCTTTTGGGTAAGTTCCTGTGGTTGTTATTAATGGTATCAGAGACAATCTATGCGCTCGATTATGTAGGCTCCAGGATCATGCCTGGAAGTCCAGGAAATATTCTTGTGTATGAGTGACTCTGGCCATTACATTTAAAGAGTTACTGCACATAAATTGTTACAGAGAATCATGTGGTCCACCTCACTAAATGACGTAGGACAATGGGGTCATTATTCTGGATGAGTTTTGGTTGAATATGCTATTTATAAAGCAATTTCTCTTTAAAGTAAGGTCTCTGTAATAATGATTTAGTTTTATTTTTTTATATCAAGGAAACATTTGTCCTATTGCTAGTTGCTACATATTTGAACATACTACTCTTTCTACTATATCATTTTTTTTTTCCACATTGGAGTGCATGCTAGCCTATTTCATCCAAAATGGCATGTTATCTTGTGGTGATGCCTTTTTCTTTTTTAAATAGTATCTGACAATAATACTATACATTGTAGGGTGTTCTACTGCTCAATGCCGTTCTTACTGGTAAAATTCCTAATTTCTCTGAACTTCCAAAACCTGCAATGTCATATAGTCTTAGTTATGAATTTTGCTACATTGCTTTCCCACTTTCTCTGTTCCATAAGTCTCTTATTGTTTCCCCCTCCCCTCTTTTCAGTTAGGCAGCATCAGGCAAATTCTCATGCAAAGAAAGGGTGGGAGCAATTTACTGATGCTCTCATCAAAGCAATTTCACAGAAGAAGAAGGGAGTAGTATTTCTTCTGTGGGGAAATTATGCTCAAGCAAAATCCAGGTAACCTCGTGTCATAAGCCTGGCATTGTGGCAAGTCTGAAGGCTGATCAAGAAATATGATAAATTTATCTCCACTCACTACAAAATGAAATATTAATACTCTCACTTTCTTTCGCTCTCAAGTTCTATGTGTCAAATCCATCATTTTTGGTGTTCAGTCCTTGATGTTTTGTTCATTATACCACTCAAATCAGGTGGAAAGAATCTGAATATCCTTTAAATTTTTCTTTTAAATGGAATCTCTTAAGCAGAATTTAGGCCATCATTGATTGGTTCTAGTGTTAGTTTCTGCAGGATATTAATCATTGTTAAAAATGAAGCCAACTTTGCATGAAACAATCTGGCATTGTTTCTCTAGCTTACAAAAAATTTGCTATTCATCTGATGCTTAATGTGATAATATTGTCCTAAACTTTGTTGGGGGATTTTTGGTGTTGTTTTAGCTTTTAATATTTTACTTGTTTGCTTTTCCTGCCTGTATTATTATCTTGAATTTAAAATTTGGAGAAGTGTATTTTTATTTGTTATCTCAGCTTCTAGTGATGAAATGTAGCATCCATGAAGCGCATGGGAAGGGCAACCATTAAAATGAATTTTTCCAAGAAACTTGAAGCATATGTCGTTTGAGCTTGGGGATGGTTGTAGGATTCAGCTTTGCATGGCGTGGTGCAAAAATGTTCCTTTATCGTGGTTTTCCTAGACCTATATAATATTTCAGTCTATCGGTGGAGGTGTGGCAATGGGAATTTCTTGGTTAAATCCTATCACCTTTTTTATTTTTTATTTATTTATTTATTTTTTTAATAATCTGTGGAAGGTTGAGGAATTCTTTCCCGTGAAGTTCATTTAGAAGTCGGAAGCTCCAACAAAAGTGTCATTTTTTGTTTGGACAGCCACTTTAAGTTCTGTCCTTTCTACTGACAATTTGATAAAAAGAGGCGACAGACTACCTAATACTAGGTGTTGCAGGTGCTGTATGGTGGAGGAGAGTGGACCACTTGTTGCTTCACTGTGCAATTGCAAAAGATAAATGGAACTTATTGTTCTCCATTTTGTAGTGAACTTTAGAATCTACTTGAGTAGACATTTGACCTCTTCACTTGTAGCTTCTTTAGTGAACTTTTTTTTTTTAAATTTTATGAGTTTTTATTTTTTGCTTTTTAGATTCTTCCACACTAGACGGACCAGAAAAGTAAAAAATTTTGACACAAATTTGAAAAAAAAAAAAAAATCACTGAAGACAAAAGTTCAGAAAAAAAAAAAAATGTAGCTTTTTTAGCTGGATGCCAAATGAGGCCTTAGTCTCTTTATAACCTTTTTGTGAGAGGTCAAATGACATCTTAAGGAGAGTGATGTTTGGAACTATTTGATGGGTTCCACTACGACAAACCTTAGATGACACAATGTGGAATTCTCATGGGGCTTCCAAACTGAATTTTCAAAACCATATCTATAAAGCTGTCATGTGTCTTCAAAATGAAAGCGTGAGCTTCTGGTTTTATATAGTTTTATATCAGATTACATTGGTGTAAACATATTGTGAGTTTTGAAGTTGAGAAATTACAGGACTCAATAGGGAAAAAGAAAAAAGATGTTGGGATGAGTTTGTAGTCAGTAGGAAACTTATAACTAAAAAGATGGTTAATTATAATTATATTTTTAAGCAATTATATTGGGATCTTTGATAATTTATAATTTTTTTTGCTACACTAATGATTATTAATTTCGTGCAGATTGATCGATGAGACAAAGCACCATATTCTCAAAGCAGCTCATCCCTCTGGTTTATCTGCAAATAGGGGCTTCTTTGGGTGCAGGTCCATTTTTTCCTTATATGAATGCGATTACAGTTCTGCAATAAATGTTTCCATATAGGGAATATATGTTTGACCAAAATTATTATTACCATTCTAATCTTGCATACCCTGTTTGTTCCCTTGGATTGCTCGAGTAACATTAATGAACTGTCTTGTCAAATTCTAGTTTTTGGGATCAGCAAGCATGTTGAATTCTTGTTAAAAATTAAATAAATAAATAAATAAAAATTTACGGAGATTACTCTTAAGAGGAGCCCCTCCAAAATAATTGTCTCCAAGCCCTTCCTGAGTTAGTTCAGGAATGTTGTTTCCTTGCTTTTGGGATGTGATTGTCTATCATGGTATCACTGAATAGCAAAAATCATGCCTTTTGAGTTGTTTACTATCAATTCTTCAATATTTTAATTCTTCTGATTAAATTGACTATTGATGCATGGTTTATTCCAATTAGTTGTTTGACGGTAAACATTTTTGTTTCCACAGTGGTGTACTTGGGGTGTGGTATAGAGCATCTTAGTGAGCTCTGTTTCTTATGTTTCTTTTGAGCAAAAATAAAAGAAAAAGGTTGTTTCATTTTATTGTGAGTCCATGTGGAAATAACAGGAATGATACACTTCATGTATAAAAATCAATTAAGTAGTCAGTGCATCCTTGTAACTGTTGTAGTTAACTTGCACTTGCAGTAATGAGGAACGAATTTATGCAATCTGAATTCATGTGTGGAGGGGTCAACCTTCTTGGATCTCATTTTGACTTTCCCATTAGTTTGTTGGCCAACTAGGACTTACAGTAGGCCTGCCCATGTTTGGTTGTTTCTGAAAACTAATCGTTGGACTAGCCTTCTTCTTGGGAAAGTATAAATACCAAGGTACCCTCACTTGGTATTTTTTGATGAGAAAAACTCTTCAAGTGTCTATGCACTTCTTGCACATTCTAAATCACATCTCTTCAATGCATCCACTTTATGTGAGTGAATGTGAGCTTAAGAAACTTCCATTGTACCTTGTGTGGAGAGTTTTCTTTCCTTGAAATCTTGAAAGTTCTCATTGGAGGTATAATTTCTCATCATAATGTTGTAAATATTTTGTTGTATACACTAGTGCCACCTTCACACACCTACACTCTTATCTCACATAGAGAGGCTCCTTGTGAAGCTCTTAGTGAGCATCTTTGTTAAGTGATAAGTTGTGTTTCTTGGTGGTTTTGGGTTTCGGGTTGAGCCACACACAAAAAACAAAAAAAAAACCTAATGTTTAATTTGTGATTTGGATTGTAAAGGTTAGAGTTTGTTCTACTGAAAACCTCTTTGAGTTGTAAGATTTTTTGTTAACCTAGGGAAAACCCTGGTTGATAACTGGATTATGCCAACAACAAAGCCGGAGAATGGACGTAGGACAGTGTTGTGCCAAATCACTATAATCTTTACATTATTGCACTTTAAATTGAATGGGCGATGGATGAGATTGATGTATGTAATTGACATTACTAGGAGATATTGATCTTATTATTAAGAAATGTTGAGGTACACTTAGGGTTAGCCTAATAAGTGAATTTACATGTCATGTACCCTGGTTGACAGTGATATCAATATTGGTTGACCGGAATTCATCTAACAAAGAAAGATGTTACTTTTGTGGTGAAGCAGATTTAAAAATAAAGTTGATTTAAGTATAGAACTGTCCTAGTTGACATTATTCATTAATGGGGTTCACTGTAGTACTAAATCCCGAGCTTTGCTGTCACATTATAGAATCTCAACTGTGGATGTTACCTTGTGATTACTTCTATTTGTTTATGCTTATTAAGTTTTGAGCATGTACCGGATTTCTGAAGACTTGGGCAGTTGTTACTAGGCGACACACGACGGTTTCATTTCATGTAAACTAATTTTATTGATATTAGATGAATTTTATATTCCAAGGGTTAAAACGTAATTCATACTGGCGTGATATACTTATTGCCTTCGATTGATTAACATGTACACAGGCATTTTTCTCGCACAAACCAGCTTTTGGAGCAAATGGGAATGCCTCCTATAGATTGGCAATTATAATTGGGAGAACCTGCTCGAATTTTGTGACTGACTATTAACATCTGTGATGTACTTGCCTTGCAAGACAAGAATTCCAGGATTTACTCGGTACTTATTTCCGTCACTATTTAGTTGCTTTTGCCGATATTTTTGGTCCATCTTTATCGTTGTTGCACTGTATGGTTTGAAGTTTGTTCAGCAACATGTAATTGAATCGTATGAATTACTTTTTGTGTTGTATATTTTTTGGGGTTGAAATTCATGAATGATCTGGTTTATGTACTGAGAAGAACAATTTGGTTTATTTGGGTTTTGTGAACAATATTGTACATTCTGTGATGACAATGTTTTGGTTTGGGTTTTTAAAAATAGTTTTTTGAGTTTTCTATCCATATTTCTTTGTTTTTAGTGATTTTTTTAACATTTTAATCAATTTTTTTCTTCTTACTTTTTAGATCTACTTAATCTAGATACACTTTGAAAATACAAAATTTGTAGAAAAATCTTTAAAAAAATCATTGAATACAAAATATACAAAGGTATTGAATTTTTGTATTTTTTGTATTTTTTTTTGTTTGTTTGTTTTTGTATTCAATGAGTTTTTAAAAGATTTTTTGTATAAATTTTATACTTTTTAATTGTATCTAGATTAAATGAATCTAAAAATTAAAAAAAAAATGATCAAAATATTAAAAAAATCACTAAAAATTAAAAAAATACTAATTGAAAATTTAGAAAATTATTTTTGAAAATTTCAAACCAAAATTGACTTTTTTTGTTGCTTGTTTCTTGATAGGGAAGATACTTTGGGACGGAATCAAGGTGTATAAGGTTATTTGATGGGAAAAAATTATTTTGATCTTAACCTTGTTTGCTAATATTAGGAATTTCTATGTCATTTTTCACACAATAATTTTACTGTCCCTCATATTTTGGATGAATATTTTTGCTCGACCCCAAATGCATTGCATTCAGTTTATCTTGAAACTTGCATTGCAAATCTTGACAAAGATCATCAATGCTTTCCATGACCTTTCTCATAAGATTTAAGATGCACACAAGATCTGAAAGATGAGATCACATCATATAAGCTAAACTTGCATCACCCCATTGTGCATTAAGTATTTTCACTAGCAATGATTTTTTTTATATAAATTTTCATAGAATAACAAGATACAAAAATATGGATTAGAGTCATCCTAGAGAGCCATCTAATAGAACATCAAAAGAACAAAAGATAGTAAGACCTAATACTAAAAGAGAGTTCCAAGGTTGGAATCCGAATATTTTGAAGTCAATTGCATGTAGTGCACCTTCTTGTGTCACAAAATGACGTCGTTTTGGGAGAGAAAGGTAAAGAGGAAAAGGGTAAGGTTTATTTTATTATGTTTTAAAATAACGTCATTTTGAAACATTACAGGATACACTACAAACAATGCACTATAACGAATTCGGATTCGTTGGTTGATACTAAAGGACAAGACACCACACCAAGAAAACTAAGATCTTCTAACTACAAACAATGCACTATAATGAATTCAGATTCGTTGGTTGATACTAAAGGACAAGACACCACACCAAGAAAACTAAGATCTTCTAACAATACATCTTGAGCAAAGCACTAACAGACCCATGCAAGGGGAGAGATTCAAATTAAAAGCAAGCATTTTTGCAAATTTTAATAACTTGAGGAACTCTCAATAGCATGATGTTTGCATAAAGAACCAACAATATTGACTATGAGAGTTTTTGGAGAGAAAAAAATTATGTTACTTTTTGATCCAATATTTTTTGGGATGCTGCATTTCTTTGAAGCACTTTGCTTTCAACCAGTATATTTGTTAAATTGCTGATTTAGAGTTGCTTAAGTGGATTTAGTGGTGCCATATGAAATTTTTGGACTTGGATTGCTAATATACATTTCTTTTCATGAATGCTTTGTATGTTCTTGGGATATGGAGGGCTGTTCAGAGATGAAAAAAAAGAATGTGGATCCTTGGCTATTCCGGGAAGATTGAAAGAGGAACTAGTCTGGAGGCAGAAATCTGTAGACAATCATTTTTGAAAAGACCTGGATTGATATGGAAATTGAAGTGAATTGCAATGAGGCATGGCCAAACTCGATGCACTCTCAAACATGTGTACCGCGAAACTAACAAATGTCCAGATGCTCTAGCGAACATTGGAGCCGAGCAACTCGAAGACTGGGTGGGTCGTCACGGAAGACCCACCTGATGCAATCTGACCACTTCTCATAGCAAATATGATTAGAACCTTGTAAGAGAGAATATAGCTTCCCTTCTTCTTGGTTGGTTGTTGCTTTTTAGTGTAAAACTCTATTATCTTTAAATTCCATAGTATTTAAAAAAAGAAAGAAAAAGATGATTACATTTATGTGCATAAACCAAATAAAGTGATATGATAAGCTAACACCGTAGAGACATGATATGACAAGTCCACTGTCATATATCTATATGACTTACAATGACATATAAGATTTTGCAATATTGTTCTACACTCTGTTGGTTTTATGACCAATTGATACAGCTTAATATAATCATATTCTTTAGATACAAAAAAATAAATAAATGAACAAATAAGAAAATGAGTCATCTTGTGCTCGGGAGGGGCAGTGACTACCTCACCCTTTGAAAATTACTACTGAACCTATAGTCATGAAATTTTGTTTCAATTTGCCCCCTGAATGTTTATTTTTATATATATTCCATTTTTCTCTTCAAAAAACGTGATATTCTGTTCAAAACATCAACGTAAGAAACAGAAATAATCGTTGGCCAACCCAAACATAAAAGTTGGGCTAAAGATCGAAATTAAGCTTTGAACAGATTGCTTTGGCTTCATATTGCCCCTCCCGAGTCAAAATCTGCATTGATCAGTAACAGTTTCCAAGACATACAAACGAAAAAACATGAACAAATGTAATTGAAACATCAAAGGAAAATTGGAGGATGAAATGAGCTTTGATCTCAACATATTGTATGGCCCAAACCTTCCTATATTCACATCCATCTGTTACACATTTGTTCTCTATTATCTATACCTTATATAAACGAAAAGCCACTGGATAGATGTTGCGTTTGTTTTTTTTTAATTTCTTCAAAATAATACCCCATGCAATGCAACTGTCCTATTTTTGTAATTGTTCAGATCAAAGTCTCTTATAACTAATCAAATTCAGATTCAAATTCAGATCAAAATTTGTAACTAGTAGCACGTGTGCAAACACCGCTAGTATATGATTATATTAAAACTTACTTTTTGACTCACCACTTTGGAGAGATTGAAAAAAGATTTTGGTAATATAATTAACAATAATTTATTTTCTTTTATCTATTCCATCTAAACTAAAATAAAAGTTATAATTATTTTCTCTCTGTCTCAATCAAAGAAGAGGTAACAAATAAGTGTACGATTTCTGAATGATTTCTGTATATTCAATTGTGTACGTTTACAAAGAGTGCATTAGCTATATAGCCCTAATTTACGACAGAAAAAGGAAATACAAAGAAAAGAGAATTGCCTAATTCCTAATATACCATATATATAATATATATTCTCATACCCTCGCTCAAACTCAAGGTGTTTTAGCAGAAAACACTGAGAGTTTGCTACGAATAAACTGAAATCGAGCAGTATTTTGAGTCTTGGTGAAGAAGTTCGCAAGTTGCAAAGCCGAGGAGACAAAAAGAAGCGAGATAGAGCCAGACTACAGATGCTGTCGTACAAAGTGACAATCAATTTCAATATGTTTCGTCCGTTCATGGAAGACAGTGTTGTGGGCAATCGGAATAGCACTACGGTTGTCACAATAGAGGGAGGTCGGAGAAGACTGAGGTACACCCAAATCAGAGCGAAGACAACGAAGCCAAACAAATTCAGCAGTAACATGAGCCATAGCACGGTACTTAACTTCGACAGTAGAGCGAATAATAATCACTGTGTTTGGTTGTGGTTTTTCTAATATAGTTTTTTGAAAATTTTATACAACTTGTTTGGTTATTCTAAAAAATGAGTTATGTTTTCAAAAAAATAAATGAGATAGGTAGGCTTTAGTAAAATAGGTACATATAGGTAGGCTTTGAAAATGAGATAGGTAGGTTTTAGTAGAATAGGTACATATAGGTACATATATGTATGTGTATATATATATATATATTTAAAAAGAGCTGTTTGGATTAATTAGGTGTCCTTTTCCTGCATTTTTTTAATTGTTTCAATCATTAATTTAGAGGGAAATTTGAAATTGTAATGATATATTTTTTTGAAAACCAAACAAGCATTTTTTTTCAAAAAACAGTTTTCAAATCATTTTTTCAAATTTTTTTTCAAAAAACGGCAACCAAGCATGCTGAATAGTTTGTTTCTTGCTTTTTCAAGAGATCAAGGAATCGTCAAAAAACATACAGAAATCAGAGGTTGACTTGCAATCAGTACCATCACTTGCCCAATCAGAATCAGCATAGGCCACCAAGTCTAAAGAGGAAGTAGACGACAACAGCAAGCCCTAAAAGATGGTACCATGGAGATAGCGAAGAATGCGAACCAAAGCAACCCAATGGGTAAAGCGAGGTGCAAAAACGAACTGACTAACCACTTAAACAACACAAGCAAGATCAAGGCGAGTGACAGTTAAATAAACTAAACAACCCATCAGCTTGCGATAGACCGTGGGATCATCGAGAGGGACACCATTAGTAGAGTTGAGCTTCACATTAAGCTCAATAGGTGTATCAGAAACCGTAATATCAGTAAGATTGGTATGGTGAATAACCTCATTAGCATACTTGGCTTGAGACAAAAAATAGCCCTTTGGAGAAGAGGCAATCTCAATACCAAGAAAATATCGTAATAGACCCACATCCTTCATTTCGAGATGTTGCTTGACCTTAGAGATAACAGAAGAGTCAGAACCAATGATGATCATATCATCCACATAGAGTAGAAGAGCAACAAAACCAGTTGAGGTATATCTCAAAAATAGTTTCCAAGACACACAAACAAAAAAACATGAACAAATGTAATCGAAACATCGACGGAAAATTGGAGGACGAAATGAGCTTTGATCTCAACATATTGCATGGCCCAAACCTTCCTATATTCACATCCATCTGTTACACATTTGTTCTCTATTATCTATACCTTATATAAACGAAAAGCCACCGGATAGATGTTGCACTTTTTTAATTTCTTCAAAATAATACCCCATGCAACTGTCCTATTTTTGTAATTGTTCAGATCAAAGTCTCTTACAACTAATCAAATTCAGATTCAGATTCAGATCAAAATTTGTAACTAGTAGCATGTGTGCAAACACCGCTAGTATTATATAAAGCATACACCTCATTTGGTGTGATTATGCGCTTTTTGTATTTTCCAATAATGCCCTCAATATCTAGTAACTGTTTGAAGAGTTTCTTTTTTTTCCCCTTTAATCAAAGGTTCCTTCTGTCCTATCTCAATATATGTGGTTTATAGCTTAACAAAACCATAAACAAAAGTGGATATGTAACCGTTAGTCTTCTCTCTCTCTCTCTTTTCTTTACAACTATCTAAAAACCTCCTCTAGGAGAGTGCAAACAAACAACCTCCACTCCTCCCTTTAGTTGCTAAAGATTTTAAACACAAACAAGAAGCTCATGCCGCATTTCAAACAAGAAACGAACAAAGGTGAGGTTCACTAGGTATAACCTACGGACAAAAGTGAAAAACCAAAAGGAATTCTATATAATCATCCGGTTTTCACGATTTGTTGCATTGAACGCCTCTCTCATCAACAGCCTCCTGGCAGCTGAGTATCTATCTTCTTAAGAGAGCGGTATTGCAAGCGAACGCTCTCCCCACTACCAATAATCTTAAGCAAATACCTGTGAGAAAGATGAGAACAAAATGAGAAACAAAATGACCTAATGGCACAGACACGGACAAACACAAGGTTCTATGCACATCATAAAGGATTAAAATATTCTAGTGAAGATTGATGTAAATAGAAGGTTTCAGCCATTACAAATCTGTGTAACCCTTTCATTATAATTTTTGTCTAGTAATTTCTTTTGTCAAGGGTCATCCACCCCAAAATGTATTTGTCCTCAAATGCAAGAGCAACTTGTAAGAAAGCTGGACAATGAAGAACAAAATAAGTGTGGACCAAGCATACAACGAAAACGAGGACATTGAGGTGGATATGTGGAAATACAAACTCAGATATAAATGGACAAACAAATGAGAATATGGTCATTCCACCAATAATAAAAATTGTTCAACAATATGCAGAATGAATGGACCAGGAAAAGGAGATTTGATGTAAGTTACGGGTAGAATGTCAATCAGGATGCCAAAAAAATGTGGAAGTGGGGGAAAAAAAACATGATACCCATAATGTACAAGCCATATGGACCTAGAAAGTGATGAAAGTGAACCAAAAAAATAAAAATAAAATTCATGTAGCCGATACAAGTTAAACAATCCGAATCTTAAGATGTTATACAACAATTTGAGTTGAAGTGAACCATCTCACCAGCCATTGAGACATTGCGATGTGATTATTGCTTCCTTCCCAACAAATTTATCTGGTGTTCTCCTATTTCCCTGCATGGCATAGTTATTTAGCATTTCTTCCATTTTAACTAGCTGTAAGTAGGATAGTTAGACAACTCACCTTGATTACCACTTTTTCATTCACTGCAAAGGGATATTGCACCCCCTTTTGCAGCACGTCATCGCCAGCAGTATCCCCATTTTCCTGGAGAAAATTCAATTAGTCAAAACTAGTTTTTTTTACTTTTTATAATAAATTTGTTTTTGTTTTTGGCAACAAAATGAGAATATACATTAAAAATAAGAAACAGTACAGGGATGGGAGAACAGGGAGTCCTCCAGAGATGAAAAAAGATAAATTAATAAACTCGCTACAAACACACTGCCCTCTAATCTCTAGAAATAAAAAACAGTAGTATCTCCCTTGGGAGATACCGAGACCCACATAGAGGCCAAATGACAACCTTCTCCCATAAATAATCAACTCATCCTAAAAAATCCTAGTATTACACTTCAACCAAATAACCCAAAAATTTGCACGAGATACACAATCCCACAAAAATCTGCCTTTTGGTTATATTATTATGAATTTGACACCAACATATATATATATATATATAATAAACATGATTTGTTTCAAATGCTTGTGTTTCTTTTCAAGATTCAATTAATTCATACAATGTTTAAAAGGGTCATGTCCTAAACCTCCAACAGCAACTTGAAAGCATTCTGTTAAGGCTGAATGCCTCAAGATGCAGAGCTTAACACCCACATAGGTAACTAGGAGTTGTTGGGTTTAACCCAAAATTTAGCTCACTACTCATCACCCCAAAACCTAGACCCAGATGTAAATGATTAATTTTTAGTTTTTAAAAAAATCCAACAGCCATTTTGTAGGAGAAAGATTAGAGTACAACTATTCAAATTTGTTTTTATTATTTCTAATTCTACCAGGCCTTATTTATGACTGCTCGAGCAGGTGTTTTCCTAGTTGCTAATGGATGAGAGAATACAAACTTCAGATATTTATATGAAGAAGGTACCCTGTTTTGTCTCTTCACCATATGCATCTGGTCACCCATCTCTTTGCGGCGTTTCCGCAGAGCTGCATTGTGGAAAAGCCTCCTGTCATCCTCATGCTTTACAGCTGCAGCCGCAGCTCTCAGAGCTGTGGACAAAAAATAAACAATGTGGGTTGGAACATGGCATGTAAAAGACAGATAAGAAGCTAGCCAAGAAAGAGAGAAAGAGAAAGAGATGATTAGGGAAAGCTAGAAATCAAAGAGGAAAAAAAATGGATTTAAAAAGAAAAACTGAAATGTACCATAGTTAGGGATCAAAGAACTGCTGTCAATTTCTGCACTGCAGAGGTTACACCTTGACTGTGAGAAGACAAATAATTAAGCTCCATTACATTGGATAACTGATCATTCTTCACGCAAGTATCAAACAGACCTCTACTTGTGAACACAACATGAAGGGGATCTATTCAACAAATTTCTCAATAATTATAATTGACATAAGGTAGATATTCTATTCATCTAACAATTAAGGAGCCAATTTCTTCCAACAATTGCCAAATACATCTCTTATTTGTCAACATAACACAAGCGCTCTATTTATCAAATTTCTCAAGAATTAAAACAGACAACACACAATATGCAGCTAATAGTTACATAATAGATGTGACATAAGGTAGATATTCATCTAACAATTAAGGAGCCAATTTCTTCCAACAATTGCCAAATACATCTCTTATTTGTCAACATAACACAAGGGCTCTATTTATCAAATTTCTCAAGAATTAAAACAGACAACACACAATATGCAGCTAATAGTTACAGAGCCAATTTCTTTCGAAGTTACTTTTTTTTTTGTGGTGGCTTGGCCCAATTTTACATTTTCACCCTCGGATTTCAAAATGCAACATACCCATTGCTGTGAGGAGCAAAGTATCGTTTTTAACATGGGTACAATGACCAAAATGTCGTCTTGTTCATTCCATTTTCTTTGCATTTCAATGCCTTCTTTTTATCTTCATGGATGATTTCAGGAAACAGTTTAAGGAAACATATCTGAATATTAAATATGTTGCGGTTATTGGAAAGATGGGTGGAGACAAATGGAAACCTTTCGTGGAATTTTTATTTTTTCTATAGATCCTTGATACTTTGTAATTTTAAAAACATATGTATATATTGCAATACAAATCATCAATATTCTATATATCAATGGATACATTGTGAGATTTTACAAATTGTGTTCACAATCCAAACTTGCATGATACATATATTGTAGCAAATATGGCGAAATATACCAAAAGTAAAAATGGGGAAGCATTAATATAGCCTCGTAGGATCGCAATAGAGTTTGAGTAGATCTTTCTGTTAATTCTATGAAGGCCAATTTGTACATATTTTGAAGTCATTAAACCCTTAAAAATAAAACTACGACCATTAACAACAAAAAGCAACATTCAGAGCAAATAACATGTGCAACTATCAAAATAAATTGCTTAGAGACTGATACTTACGGTCTCTAAGACCTTCCTCAGCAGTTGACCACCAAATGAATGTCCACATGATACAACCGTAGCATCTTCAAGGAATGCACCACTGAGGAATGAAGAAAACAAATAAAAAAAGAGGAAAAATAATTAAGTTCGTATTATAAAGTGACACCAAATGAATTTGTTGTCATGCAGAGAAATAATTTAATAGATAATAAATGATTGGTAAATTTTTTACAATTGCTTTGCAATCAATTCTCAAAATAGTATAAGAAACAATTTTCCTCAATCCAAAGATATATTCCTCAGGAAATGCAATTTTTCATAAACTAAGGCATGTGCAAATCCAATTCAAAAGCTGCTTCTCAGATAGATGCCACAGAAGTTAGTATAGAAATATAAATTCTATTCTTCATATCCTAATAGAACCAAAATTAGACACAATATGAGTAGTCATAAGTTAAGACAACTTCAGAAGACTAGGACTAGGGTTCTCTATAATTGGTTTCATGGGAGGCTAGGTTTGCAAAAGTCAGCAAGTCAGGGGTTTATACGGTAGAGGAAAGGTTTTAAGTTTTCTATCTCAAAAAGGAAATAATCAGCTCAATTTAGAAAGTGTATAGTGGCAGTATTGCTGGAAGATCCGAACAACAGCTAATTTAGGGTTCCAATGATTAAAATGAAGGCTCAGAGGCAAGGGAAGGGTTTGGGGTTGGTTAGGGCTACATTAGGAAGGGTTTACAGGGGAAGTCGGGGTTGTTCTGTCTGTCACTGTCCAAAGCTAATTAACTGATTCCTGGAGAGGGTGTGGGAGCGAGAGTAGAAGCTAGAGCATCATTTTTTAAAAATATCTTGAGAGCGAGAGCACCTCCAAAGTGTCTATATATGATTATATATTGATTTATTTTATTATTTTGTTCATTAATAAATTTATTTTATCTTATTTTTAATATGTTAAATAATATAAGATTATGTATTACAAATAATATTCTGATTAGTTAACTTTCAAAAGAATAAAATTAAACTTTGTAAGAAACAAAAATAGTTGTAGCTGGGATGGCCAAGTATTCCATAAACCTATTAATGATTGAATAGGCCTCTTTTTCAACACTTCGGAACCATTGGTTTTTAAACAACTTTGCAAACTACATATTCATTTACACGAAAGCCTAAAACTTATGTTAAATATTGAATTTGCCCCCACCAATTATTTCAAAAACAAAATCAGGTCCACTATAATAAATACACAAAAGCCTAAAATCAACTTTAAATGACAAATTTGCCCCAGTAATTAATCAATTCGTGAATTGGCTGGGGATAATTTGAGAATTTGCCACGATTTCGGGGCAAATTCGTGAACTTCAGAACAGAAGCGCTGGGATCGATGCAAGAATTAGGTGACTTAGATCCGAAGTAACCCAAGAATAGGAAGTGTGTTTTTCGCAAAAGGGGAAGGAGAAGGGGAGAAAGAGATGCTTTTTATATGTCAACTGTGCTGCATCATGTGATTCTATATTCTTCTGGAATCTGGTACATGCATTTGGCCAAAATGAGTAGGCTGAAAGAAAACCTTCCATTCCCACTAGTAACTCCAGTGCGACAGTATGTAACTCTATGATAATGCGCCCAGCAAATTAATGCAGGAAGCCCCCCATCAAGGGCTAACCCTGTTTGTTTGCTGGACTAGGTTGGATGGATGGATGGAATTATTAGTATGGTGGGATTGAGAGAAGGGATTACTAGCATGGTGGTATTAGGTTGAAGATGTAAGATAAATTGTGTTTGTTTGTGTAGTAGATGTGGTGTTAGTTGGTTGGGATTAAATTTATGAATTTACACAAGTCCTCAATATATAAAAAGTAGCTTTGTTATTTTTGTGAAGTGGGGGTATAATGATATTTTCACACACTATTAAACTCCTCAATAAATATTTTTTAAAAAATAATTTAGCACGTTGTGACTGGTTAGGCTTGGTCTAATTTGTAATGAATGTACACTAAAATAGGCGGCATTCATTCAAACAAAGGGAACCAAAAGTTTCCCTGGTGCTTCAATATAGATTCACAGAGAGTAGTTAAAACTACATAAATTAAATGTGTTTACAACTCTGTGCTGAGATGACAGATTGAATTCACACAAGTTTTTTTATGCTGCCGATAACTATGCAAGATACAGAGACTCACACATAAATCAAACATATGCCCAAATGTCCAAATCATGCATGTTCAGATACACATCCTGCTATGTTACCTTACCAAAATAGTCTACTGCCTCAGCTCATATTTAAGCCACAACCCCTATCTCAGAAATTCAATGAAAGGTCCATTCCATATAACATGAAAGAAAGGATCGGAGCCTAAAACATGATTGTTTGTTCTCACTAACATAAGAAGTGTACAAATAGATTGAGTTAAAATTATTGTGTTCTCATATAACATTTATATATATAAATAAATAATTAGCAATGCTCCACAACATTGCAGGGTGATTGTTTCATTGAAGTAAAAAAAAAAAAAAAAAATTGGTAGAAGCACTTGCTTAGTGAAACAGTCACCATGCAATTTCGTACTAGTAGGAAGATGATCCCAGAATCATATAATAAATATCAACAATATCGACGCACTGTTGCTATCTCATTATTTGTTAAGATGGTGGTGAAGAGTAGGACTAGAAACAATCTTTTGGGTTCCTAGGATGGTAATGTACTGCTGGGATAAAATTGATACATTTCTGCACTCCAATCTGAAAGAAACCAATACACTGTCTACAACATAGAACTTCTCTTATTGGATAGTGGATACTTTTAATAAAGTATATTCTAATACTGGAGTAAGCAGTCAAATTATGCGTTGATTAGCCTAAACAAGAGACCAAACTTCATAGGTTTTTTCTTCTGATACTTTAAATCCTTTTAAAGTCAACCTAAGATAATCAAAGGGATTTTAGGAGTCTCGAACAGAATTTTTACTTAGAAAATTGTTCTCTGTTTATCGTCTTATTAAATTAATATCTAAGCACCCACCTGTCAGTCACACGCATATCATCCCCTTTAAGGGCTATATTGACCCGTAAGTTACTTGGACGAAGAATCCATAGTGCCTAACTCGATGAGAATAAAACAGCTTTATAAATATCAGGATCACGTCTAAACCAAAATTGTGCTTTGAATATTGTCGACCAAAACCAAATCCAGTTTAACTTGTGCAAAAGTCAAACTGACTCATAAGCTGTATGAATTAACTCACTTTTAAAAACATGACTGCCCTTATTTTAATATATATATATATATAAAGACATGGATGTATAAGGGCAAGGAGCCAAAATTTTATTTTCATGACATGAGATTCCCAAAATTCTGGAATATTGTTCCAGGTAGAATTATTCCATTAACCAAAAAAAAGAAGAAGCATAACAAAAGCAACGAAAAAATAAATTTTAACTCACGATAAAGGATCTGAGAGAACGCTTCTCAAAGACAGTTCCCTATTCAAATTGTTTCGAGCTACCTGTGATCCAAAATCCACAAGAACTGTTATACAAGTGAAAATAAGACCTTGGTCCCACCACGTTAAGCATGGGATAAAACAAGACATAAAATACCAGTCAAAAACTTTGTAGAGAGAGAGAGAGGAGTTATAGAGAGATCGTTAACAGATTACCATGGGAATATTTTCTTTTCAAAAAAAAAAAAAATTAGAGAAGTATTATCATTATACTGAAATTGCGTGACGATAGTAGTTTTGTACATCTCTACACAATAAATTTGAGAGACACAAGAATAGCCACCACAATTTTCTAAATGAAAATTCCTTTTTGTGAACACAACAATTATAAGTGAATGGAAGGTCACCAAAAAGTAGATTCAACCTTATTTAGAATAACCTCTTCAAAGAGCTTATCATAATCAAAATCTCCTAATCTATTAGTTACAAATAAACAGAAAGCTAGGTAAAATATCAAGGAACTGCTAGCATATACTTTAGTTTAGGTGAGTCTACTTCTGTGGATATAAAAATAGGAGATAAATATAAAAAATTTACGTTTTTAATGCAAAATGACAAAATTCCATTTTGCTAAATGACAATGTAGCCAGGTAACATGGAGCAAAAAGGTAGGATGTGTTTGGTTTGGTTTGGTTTGGTTTTGGGAGATACATTTTCAAAAAAAATCTTGGGGAGAGAGTTTAGAAATTTTTTTGGTTTGTTTGGTTGTATATTTTGGAAATAGTTTTGGAGTGTCGGAGTTTGGGATGATTTGATATTTTGTTGTAGTTGAGTAGATGTGTGTGAGAGAAAAAGTGATTGAAAAGGAGAGAGGAGAGAGAAAAAGTGATTGATTGATGTGTAAGAAATAGAAAGTGATTTTGGAATTTTTTTTCCAAAATCACTAAACCAAACAAAATTTTAAAAAAATTTCTCCAAAATTTGTTTCTCAAAAGCGAACCAAACAAGGCCGTAGTATTTGATTTGTTGGAATTATTTTGGGAATGAATGAAATGGCTATTCTTTGGCCTCCTAACGGAATGAAATGGTCATTCTCCTAAATTGGTGAATCATAATTTCATTTAATGTACATATTCTTTCCTTTTTATTGAACCAAACATGGGAATGGGTATCCCGACAGAATGACCATTTGATTTCAGAACCAAACACTACATTAGAATTTTATGATGTAGAAAATGAAGCTTGACGAGTTCTTTTTAATACTAAATTATGTGTATTACAACTTTATGTTTCTGTCATATATTCAAAACCATCCTTTGCGTGGTTGATTTGTGGTTGACAAGTGCATAATGTTAAATAAAAAACAATGTTGCGACACTTTGGGCTGTGTTTGGAAGTGTTTGAGATGTGTCTACAGAGCATCCAAGTGATAACAAACATGTTTACAAATGTCTATGGGGTGTAAGACACAGGCAAGACACATTCATAGAAGTATTCATGCTTCTTACTAATGTTGTTTGCTAAACACTATGACTTCATGATTTGACTGTATAAAAGCCATGCTAACTCTTACAATGCATGAAACAAAACGAGACCTGGAAAACTTAAATATAACCAAACAATGAAAGATCTCAAGTGAAGCCAGTCCATAAAACTGTATCAGAAAAGCCCATGAATCTGCAATGAAAACACTCTGGTGCCACAAATTCAACAAAAGAATTACTAGCCTAAATCCACCAACAACTTTTTACAAAAGCACATCAAAGACCGTTTACATACTTAATCTGAACTACTAAGCCAGGCTACAGGAAAACACAGGCCATGTTTGGTTTGGTTTGCAGAATCTGTTTTCATAAATCTTTTTGAAAAAACTAAAAATTAGTTTCGTAAAAAAAAAAATTCAAAAAATTCAAAAGCATTAATCATTTTTGAATAGTTTCATCTTTTTCGAGGGCATAAATAATTTCTTTAAAATTTTAAAATATATTTTAATATTTATTTTTGTCAAACTAGTTTCGATTTTTTCAAAAAAAAATTCAGAAAATAGTTTCAGAAAATCAAGTCAAACATAGCCACAATTTGTTTATTTCCTTAAATTCTGTAAATTTTTTTAACTGTTTGTGTTTTTGGAAGTGAAAACAGTTGTCAAAAGTGTTTTTGTTTCTAGATTACAGTTTTTTTTAAAACACATCCTTAAATACCATAAAAATTGTGTTTTCATACTTTCATAGGTTGTCATCTCATACTAGCTAGGTTGTTCTAATAGAGGTATATACCGAAATGATTAATTATGCCCAATGATTTTTAGTAAACAAATATCTTATTAGGATTCTTGTAGATCTAGAACCCTTCTTATATGAAGGATTTCAAATAACTACTTCTACATTGATATTTCAAATCTATCATGAGGAAGCTTGCAAACTCAATCTTAAATTCCATATCAACTGTCAAATCTAAATTTGAGTTATTCTCCTTGAATGAATAGTGTCAAATCCTTTCATTTCAAACCCATAAATCCAAACACAACCTAGGTGAATATAGATACATGGATCACGGGCATGTTCAAAAAAGGCTAACTTTAAACAGAGAACAACATCAGGTTTCAAATTGAATGTTCAAGATATGAGATAACCCTTTTCTGGGTTAACCACTTGTCATAGGATTTTGTTGATTGGGAGAAAAGTAATCTAGGGCTCTCTTTGTATTCCCACTAAAAGTGACTGCAACTTTCTGCAAGTTCACTATCATTTCATACTTGATGCGGTAGGCGCAAGATTGGGAGGTTGCTCAATTGGTGGAGCTATGGGGATTCTTATATGGGTTGGGGATCACTGGAGTGGGACTCACTTTCATCATTATATTGGGGCTTGGTGGGGAATTGTTGTAGGGTTTTTCCTTAGAAGAGTGTTTGGGTGCCGGGTGTTCCATCTAAGGTGGCTTTCTTTATGTGGACGGCAACTTTGGGGCAGAATCGCACATTGGATAACTTGGCGCGGCGTAAACATGTTTTAGTAAATTGGTGTTGTATGTGTTGTGCTGATGCGAAGTCAGTGGATCATCTGTTTCTTCATTGTTCCGTGGCTTCGCGGTTGTGGGGTTTTATTTGTTCGCTCTTTGGGATTGCTTGGGTTTAACCAAAAGGGGTATTGTATATACTTTGGGCTTGGAGGGGTGCTCGGATTGGGCATCAACGTCGGTGGGTGTGGTTGTTGGCGCCATTATGTTTGATGTGGCTTGTTTGGTTGGAGCGGAATAGACGAACCTTTCTAGAGGTGTATCATGGTATCCTTTGGTTAGAAAATCGTCTTCTCGTAATTATGTATAGTTGGTTGGAGAGGAAGGTTGATCCGAATATGTTTGTTCTTTTAAAATTTTTAGATGAGGTGATTGGTTAGTGCTCTTTTCTGGTTTTCCCTCGTTGGGGATTCCGTTTTGTATTCATCGCATCATCTTGATGCTTTCTTAATAATATTATTTATTTATTTATCAAAAAAAAAAAAAAACTTTGTTTCCTTGACAGTAAAACTAGATTTAAACTTTAAAAATATAAATAAATAAAAAAGATAATTTAAAAGCACCATAATTTTCAAGAGAACTGCAACTTGTTTCAAGAAATAATGCAAATATGATGCGCACCAAGAGATGTATTCATATATTATGCTTGTTAACTTCCCAAATATCCCTAACATACAAGCCAGCAAGATCTACCACCTAAGTTGGTCATTAACCAACAGAAGTGTAGATCCTGTTCCACTAAAGTCCTAGTACAATTCTTAAAAATTACACAATGATTGATTACGATGCTTGAACACAAAACAAGCATAAAGCTTTTTCATAATGCTACTTAATTGTTTGGCTACAGAGGTCATGAATGCCTTCTATTCATCCCTACCTCTCTGAGAGCGTAATTCAGTTTCCAAACTTTAAGTTCTTTTATTTTGTCAATGCTCTCCCCTCTATTATTCTGAAACGTAGATTTTATCATCAGATGCGAATTACTATTCACAAACAAATGCGCAATGACTAATCTAAAACATCTCAGATTTTCACACCTTCCAATAACCAAGAAGACTAAAGGAGGAATTATAAGATAATACCACTTGCACTCAGTTTGACATTTTTAATTTTGTTTTATTGATTTTTTGCTTTTTGTTACAAGTAGATTTTCTTTAGTGTTATCAAAGGCGATAGGCGCACCAAGGCGCCAAGGTCTCCTGGGGCCTAGGCTCAAGGCTCAAGGCGCAAGGCGAGGCGCAGGCTTCACTGAAGTGAGGTGGACCTTGTACGGAAAAAAATATATAATTTAATATAAGTAAATAATTTAGGGTTCAACATAAACAAAATGAAATGTTAAACATTTAGTATTTTTTAGAGATTAGGAATTAGGACTAATTTTTCTTCTATCATTGATATGGGGTTGAATGCCCAATGTATTGGCATATGTAATAAGAGTAGAGATCTTTTGTAACTACACTATATTAAATCAATGGTCAGATGTTTAAACAAAACCAATTAAAGCAACAATAAAAAAAAAAAAAGCCCTCAAGATGCAAGCCTTGGGCCAGTTAGGTGCTATCGAAGTTGCCTGGCCTGGAACACTACAAGGCACAATCCTTGGGCTTGGACGGGACTTGGGCCTAGGCGCACGCCTAGGCGAGCCTTATCGAAGTCGCCTAGCCTGGAACACTACAAGGCGCAAATCTTGGGCCTGGATGGGACTTGGGCCTAGGTGCACGCCTAGGCGCGCCTTTAATAACACTTAAAACTTACATAAATATTTTCAGAATGGTTGCACGGGATATCTTCCTCAGCAGAAAGATCATCCATAAACTGACTAACAGAGATTGGTACATAGCTCTGAGGAATGACATGACCAGCTGCAGCAATAGGAGAACAATCCAGTATAGCATTGCCCTGTGGCATTAACCTGAATGCCAAAGATGTCCTACAACCACAAAATAAGCTTTAATAAGTAATGAAAGAAGCCTTGTACAAAAATGCAATTGCAACTACTGAAGCATTCAAGTCAATCAAAATAACTATCATAAACACGAAAACGGTAATTAAACCTTCCACCAATAGCTGTGCCAGAAGAACAATCAGGAGCAGCTCTATAGGACGCTGCAGGGCGAAGGCCAGCAGTGGCATGACTGAGAGCCCTGCCTGTGAGAAGCAACAGATCCCCAGGGGCTGATCCACCATCTGCTAGGTACCAACGATTATTGGGATCACAAACCTATGGAAGAAAACAACTGTAAAATATGATTTAAGGATCACAATATTCAGAACATCCAAATCCAGAAACTATTTTTCTTTGTAGGTATAACTCAATATTTGACATAAAACTTCTTATAAACAAAGTACTCCATGTATAATAATATCGAGTTATTCCTTAACAAAATAAAAATGCACTATATACACAGAATTGTAGTAGAAAAGACACCTGAAGACCAGGACTGTCAGAGGAAATCAATGTCAACAATCCCTTTTCAACTTCTGCATTTTGTTGTGGCTTGCCTCCCCCTACAGAACCTTTGCTACTTAGCCAGGACAGAGTAGAGTAAGTTGCAACCAGCACTGATGAGGATGCCTCATTAGCAGCCAATGGATTATCATCAAGTAAATGGTTAAAAACACTGCATCATATGCATTTCATAAGAAGCAAAAACGAAATGTCAAAATAACAGTAAGAACCAAAACATGCCACGTGAGTGCAAAAGGGCCACCAAAACCATCCTTACTCGCTTCGCAAACGAAGATGCCTCGCTATTACAGACACAGCAGCACGAGCAGTCTTTCCCATGCATCTAAAAATATCAGCCATGCATGGGGGTGAAGAATCCCAATCTTCCAAAGCCCTGTCACAAGAGCTAATAAACACTACATTCACATATAACAAGTCTAACAAGAACCGCAAACTATATCAGAAAAGGGGAAAGGGTACGCAAAACAAAATCCAAGATCTCCACATCTCACCAAAACTCAAACTCTCCAACATATATAATAAGAAATCACAATTGACATGACCATACGTCTTCTCTCTTTGTCTAGCTTATAAATTACCCTAGGTCTCCACTAAGAATTTTGTAGCTCTAAACAACTTTCCTCACCACCAAACTCAACTGATTTGCAAGAACTTTCACCACTAGTTTGTATAAAAAAAACCCACAAGACTGATAGGCATGAGATCCTTTTAAGTCCAACACACCTAAGTTTTTTTTTTTAAGCTCCAAAATGCACCACCACATTTTTGGAACTAGAACAATGAAGGAGGCAACCAAGCTCTTCTAAAAAGTCCCATGCTTATGGAAATAACACAACATAACGATGATGTGCATCCTCGAAAAACCCTACCTAATTGAAGAAAAGCCTTAGTCATCACATCCAGATGAAGAGCCTTATCTCCATTACGACTCTTCAAAACTTCCACTACTTCCTCTAAGAACGTTCCTTCCAACCTGCCCCTCTCCTCCCATAAATCCAACCATCCAAGCAAGGCCTTCTATGTTCTACCTTCACTTTCCTTATAGAGGTTTTGATTTTTTTTTATAAGCGAGATTTAAATTAAATGAGGAGCACCAATGGGGCACACCACCCACATACAAAATCAAAACATTTAAAAAAAAAAGGAAGGTGAACTCTAAATCAACTCAAGGCTCAGGAAGGCTGAAAAATACCATAAAAGCAACAAAAGCAAAAAGCTAGCTCATTCAAGTTTTGATGAGCCTTTTTATCCTCTGCATGTACAAAGTTGCGCCCCTTCTGGCACTTCTCTATAATACGTACAAAAAAAAAATGCTATGCAAGACCAAGACTCTAATCAATAACCAAGGACACAATGTCAAGCCCACAGCCAGCGGTACTCTAATTTGTGAAAAAAAACACACAATTCCATTACCAACAGCACGTGACCCTTTATCTAAGTTTCAACAACAAAACAATTTAGAGCACCACTAATCCTTATCTGGTGTGGTGCACTCCAATCCTTACTCTCTCTTTTTATCAAATATTTTTGAAAAAATACAAACTTATCCTTAAAAACCTGTTTTAACCATTTTTTTATGAAAGAAATCATCTCCAATCCTTACTCTTTTCAAAATTTCATCGAATTTGAGTAAAAATATAAGAGCATGTCCAATCCTTCACCTTTTCTTTCATCAAATTTAAATTTGATGAAAAAGTGCTCAAAATTCACCTCAAATCCTTTCATCAAATGTTCGTCTAATCAAAGGGAGAGTAATTTTTTTTCATCAAATTGAGAATTCATCAAATCCTTCATCCAATTTGAATATGATGAAAATTTAAAAAGATAAAGCATTGGAGATAGATATTTTTTCAACAAATTTGATGAAAAGGAAAATTTGGGATGAGAGGAGAATTTTCAAAAAGATTTTGATGAAAATTTGATGAAAGGATTGGAGTAGTTCATATCAAATTAAAATTTTTACTCAAATTTGGAATCAAATTAGATGAAAAAATTGATGAAGGGTTGGAGATGATTTTACTTACTCTTCCTTTTTATCAAATATTTTGAAAAAATCCAAACTTATCCCTATAAAACCTTGTTTTAACCATTTTTTATGAAAGAAAATCATCTCCAACCACTCTTTTGAAAATTTCATCAAATTTGAGTAAAAATATAACTATTGAAAATTTGGTGAAAATTTTGCCCCACCCTTGATTTGTTAGAGTATCCCCAACCCTTACTCAGACTTTTCATCGAATTTAAATTTCATGAAAGAGGCTCATTTTTTCTGCTCCAACCTTGTCATCAAACCCATATCAAATAAGGGAAAAATCAACAATTTCATCAAATGAAGGATCCTTTCATCTGTCTTCAAATTTAAATTGTCACCGTTGGGCCGGACATCCCACCCACGAGCAAATTTCATCAAATTTTTTTGTTCATGTCCAGATGACCTCCAAGGCCGACGTCATCCTGGACAACGGGGATGTAAAAAATCTGACAAAAATTCTAATTTAACATTGGAGTGAACAGTATCAAATCAAATTTTTACTCAAATTTGATGACATTTTTTATTCAACATTGGAGATGCTCTTACAAGTTTGATGAAATGATTGGATTGGAGATGCTAAAAGTTCAAAGATGGATAAAAACAGAACAAGAAGCGAGTGAAAATAAAATTATACCTTCCAGCCCTGTAAATGTAGACACCTCGACTACCCTTTCCAGAATTCTGAGCCCTAGTCCTAAAATACAACCTAGCAGCCTCCAACCCACATCTCATCAAAGCAGCATCTTCACTTCCCAGCTCAATAATCGCCGCGTTATGCCTCATCAACGACCCAGACAACGCCTCCACCGCCTTCACATAGGTCCGAGTAAGCGTCCCATCATATGCCACCATATCAGCAAGCCTAACTCTAGCCAGCGGCGGCGCCGCCACAGGCTCGCAGGAGGGATTCGCATGGTGATCAATGGCCACCGCCGCTGACGGTGGCGGAACAGGACCGAGAGAGAGCGGCGAAGGAGTGGCGGCGGCGGAGGAAGGTGGTGGCGGTGGTGGAGGGGGTCTAGTGATGAGAGAAGTGGGGGGAGGTGGTGGTGGTGCGGTGGCGGGCATTGCAGAGGTCTGCATCGTCACGGTGAGTGGTAGCATCAACGATCATTCTGATACTACCAAAAGTGAAAGATGAATGTGAATTTTGATTAGGGTTTTGAGGGAAATTAGGAAATGAGAGATTGTTTGGTATGAGTGTCCTGAATTCTCAAACACTGTCTGTTTCTCGAGAAAAACTAGTGTGCTGTGAGAATTGGATTTTAATAATGTTTTTCATGTTGTTGATATATATATATATATATATATTTTATTATTATTATTATTATTTTTTGCACTGAGGAGTAGCCGCTGGTGGTGAGGGTGAGGGTGAGGGTGAGGAAAGGGGTGGCTGTCGACCGTGCGTTATGTTCTTTTTTTTTTTTTTTTGGGTAAATTTAAATAATAATAAAAAGATTTGATATTTATAATAAAAGAAAGGATAAATTACACTGATACTCTGGAGATTTAATCTCATCATATCTCATCTCTTAATGTTATAGAAATTATTAATGGTGCTTGTGGTTCAGTTACAATTAGGGAATTTCTAATCTGTCATCTGTCCGTTGGATTGGCAGATTAGAAAAAAATCAATCCGCATCTGTCCGTTAAATTGGCCGATGTAGATTGAACGAATTGATGGATTGGTAAATGAATGCGAATCGGCTTGGTGGTTTAAATTTTTACAAATTTTGGACATAATATACAACAACTTGTTAACATTTTTTTTGCATAACAATCCAACTCAACATAAATTATCATAACATTTTTTTGGACATAATAACATTTTTTTTGGATAACAATCAACATAATCAAAAGATTATCACGTAAATTATCAAACACCAATAATAAATACATATAAGAAAACTATGCATTATCAAAATTATTTTATTACTTTTTTTATTCAAAAACTATTTACTTGGATTTTTTAAATAAATGACAAAATTAAATCTTATATTTTCTACACGAAAATACCAAATATCAACACTTGTCATTTGATAAAAGGATTTTCAAATTGAAAATACAACATAATATCTAAACTCTTTTCAATTGAAAACACAAAATCTAAATTATTAAAGGTGCTTGTGATTTGGCGGTTCAATTGTGGCCAAAAGAACCTCAAAATCGTCATCCGTCCAAAACTAGGCAGATTGAAAAAAATCAATCCGCAATCATCCATTCGTCATCACACATCCGTCTAAAATGCGGCGGATCGGATCGGATCGGTTCGGTTGGTTGAGCGAATCGAAATATCCGCTGAGCACCTGTAGAAATTACATTCTCACCCATGAGATTAATAGTTTCATTTCACAATCCCTTTTTTATATAAAAGATAACAACTCCCAATAGAAAAATAGGGGCAATTACATTGAAGAAAAAAAAATAAAGCAAAAGAAAAAAAAAATAGAAGTAAAACAAAGTAAGAAAAGAGACAGTGCATGAATTCAATGTCTTTTTGATACCAACGTTAATTCCGTCTAATTACAATGACAGGGTCAATGTAAATTCACAAACATCAGAGGGTGAAATGTATTAAACCCAAAGCTTAGGGGTGTAAGTGTAATTTATCCTAAAATAAATTCTAAAATTTTAGTTTCATGATTTAAATTTTAAATTTTTTTATTTGTTTTCAATTTAAATTATTTGTCTCTTAAAATTGATTAAAAATTATATTTTAGCCAGTAAATTCAACGAAAAAAATATTTTTGACGTTATATGTACACTTATATTGAGTTTAATTAATATAATATCATTTTTCTGTCAATTTTATTTAACGAAAGTAGGTTGATGATTTAAATTGAAAATAATCAAAATATTAAGATTTAAATTAAGAAAGTTAAAATTTCGTAATTTAATTTGTTATAATGATATAACTATGAGATTTTTGTAATTTTTCTTTTCTTTTTTTTTAATGGAAAATTTACCAATAAATCCTAATTGTTGAACTTATGATCCAATTAGTCCCATATGTTTTCTAATGTTCCAGTTGGTCCTTTCGTGTATGAAATGACACAGTTGCCATTGAAAATGGGTTGTTGGTGTAAGCGTTACATATGTAACTGATTAAGCACGTGTGTTGCATGGTCATGGTATGGTAAGCGTTACATATGTAACTGATTAATCACGTGTGTTGCATGGTTATGGTATGGTAAGGGTGTGATTCAATCTTGTAGTTTGCGGTTGATGACGGGCACGTGACAAATGGGTTGGTGTCATAGAACGTAAGAGCGCACTGAGGGTTTTTATGCTGTAGTGTTTATGTGGGTCGATGGACATGTGACCCACAATATCCACACCTGTAATCAAATGTATGCAACTCCGTTTTCATATCCACCCACACTTAGATGGAAAGTTGAGAAAGATTAGGAAACCCTAGGTATTGTGTTTTCAAATTTTGAGAAATCGATGGAGTTTATATTGCGTTGGTGATTTGGGTGGTGAGGCAGTGTAACAGATTAACTCGACATTCATGTTGACAGTGATACAAAACTGTGTGTGGCTTAGAAGCGATTTGATGATTCGGAGGCGTGGCCAAAAGTGAGATAGTAATGATTCTGTGTCATTATTCTTGTTCGTGGTATTATAACAATGGACGATATGAGTATGTGTTATGCTTTAAGCCCATATTTGTTGTTTGTATTAAAAATTTTGTAACTTGTATGTTGTGAGTTATTGTGTATGCTGTGATTGTTAGTTGAATGTCATAACTGATAATGATTTTATTTGGGATGGGTTATTAGAGTGTGTAATGTGTGACGAGGCGTGAGGTTGGGGTTTGTGTGGTGTGGTTTTTGGGAGTGGGTTGATTCCTATATAGACGGCACGTATAAATGTGGGGTGTGTGTGTGTGATCTACATAGATGGGGGTGAGTTTGGTGATGTGTTTTAATGTGTGTGTGTTGGCAACACACATAAGTTAGAAGGCCGTATTTGGTGTATGGGTTTATAGTGTTGCAACTGGTATGTTGTGAGTTGTTGTGTATTCTGTGATTGTTAGTTTAATGTTATAACTGATAATGATTTTAATTGGGATGGGTTGTTGGAGTGTGGTAATGTGTGAGGAGGTGTAAGGTTGGGGGTTTGTGTGGTGTGGGTTTTGCGAGTGAGTTGATTCCTGTGTGGTGGAGGGGACACGTATGTGTGGGGTTGTGTGTGTGATCCCCAAAGATTGTAGTGAGTTTGGTGAGGTGTTTGAATATGTATGTTGAGGACACATATAGTTGAGAGTTACGGGTTGTCAGGGTTTGGTACCTGTATGTTATTGTTGTGTAAGGCATTGCTTGTACTATGTTGTACGGGAAATGGTAATTGCAATTCCGTGAAAGAGAAGCGTACATGGTGTAAGTTATTATTGTGTTTCGGAAGCAGTGTGTGCGTGTGTGATTGTATTTTGTTGGGGATATGTGTCATTGTTATGGTAGTGGTTGTCGTTGAGTTGAGTGTGATGTGTTGGTTTGCTATTAGTGGCGGACATGGGATTTTGTGTTTTTTGCTAATATATATGTATTGTTTTTTTCCTACGAGTTTGTGTGTTGGGGTGGTACACTAATTTGTTATGTTTTCTGGTGTTGCAGACGGTAGTAAGGTAAGGAGTCTGTGGATACAGTCATGTGAACGAAAATGGGGTGACAAGGCTAATGGCTTAAAGGCAAACAATCTTGGCGTGAAAATGCAGGGGCGAATTCTATTCAAACAAGCTAAAGTCATGAAACACGAGGTGTCACGAGATGTGGTTAAGAGTGCCATTGGTGGTCAACGTCAACCCAGAAGAGGATGAACTTCCGTTCAAACATTGCAATGATAGTTAAGCTTGTCAATTTGTCAAAATTGCGAGAGTCACACTTGAAGCAGTTAAAAAAGACGTCGTTCGGGGTTATGATCGAGGCAATACACATCAACAATTTGAACCATAACTAATTCAGAAAGTGTGATGAGCTTATATGTAAAATTATAATGGCATACAACTAGCGGGATAATGTGTTCAACATTGGAGGTTCCACCATGAAACTTGGTAGCAGCGACATTGGATTAATATTTGGGCTACAATGCGACAAGAGGTGTGTTGATTTGTCACCCGGGCAAAGACCAGTATCGGACTTCATTCAACGTAGGCGTCATGATATTTTGCGTATAGCATCAAAACTAGTGAAGGCATTATTCCTACAGGCTGTTAGTGGTCATACAAGACAAGATGAGGAAGACACAACAAAGTTGTTAGCGTCGTACATTTGTAGGAAGCTTTTTTCACAAACTTTAAGGAGATGATAAGTTGGGCATTTGTGTGGTACTTGAACGACTTAAGTACCGTGCGAATGTATGACTAAACATATGCAATATTGGGAATATTAATGGTTTCAATCAAGGAATTCCACCGCACCCCGGGGAAGGTGACAGGATACGTGGTTGCGTTACTGGTATGCATTTGTTTTATTGTAAGTGTGTTTTTATTTTTTTGACATGTTTGAATGACATGTTATAGTTCGTGATGTTTGTGATGCAGTATTGGCTGTGTGAACATTCAACAATAGCGGAGCCTGAAAACGAGAACATGTTCCCTAGGTTCCTTAAGTGGGACCTTGGGACGTTGCTGACTAATGCGCAACGGGTAGATTTTGCTAGGCCTGTCAAATTTTAGGTATTTTTGATTTGTTTGTCCATTGTTGAAGTTGTGAGAAATGTGTGTCGTCCATAGTGTAACTGTGACAGTAACTGTTTGTAAATGCGTTTTGTTACTGAATTGCACAGGTGAAAGTTGACCGTTTGAGATCTCTTTAGCATGAATGGGAAATAATGGGATCGGATGTTGAAGCGGTTGATGGACATATGCCAAACATTGTCGACGTTGGTGTAGACAATGAAGGTGGTGATGATCTTTTTTTTTATGGTGGACATGTTGTGAATGTTGAGGTGCATAGCGGCAATAAACATGAAGACCATAGTGTCGGTAAGGTGCGTAAAAACTTTGTCAGTGGGTGAGGCATTGGCACAGATGGAGTGCGTGACACAATTGTCGCATCTGATAATGTCAAGGAGGAAGATGCAAAACTTGAAAACATACTACAAACAATCGCAGCCCTTGAGCTGTAAAACAAAACCAAAGACGATATGGTATCATTGCTCCAGGGAGAGATTGCTAAGGTGAAACGCAAAAGTGAGTTGCAAACTGTGAACATAGTTGGTGGTTTTTGTTGTGTTTTGAAAATGAAATATGAAGAGCTAGAGAAATTGAGGAAGGA